AAGGACTGTTCAATGCTGTAATCACGGTTGAGGAGAGGCGACATGGACACGGGCAGTGCAGTTTCGAGGTTGTCAGATGGACACACATAGAAGTGTGGGAACCTACCTCGTTGCGGCAAAAGTGAATGTTGCTGCATACCACGAGCGAATGAACAAGTACCCTATACTAAATGTTCTCTCTGCGTAAAGGCTAAACGGTTCTCTAGTCGCGACTGTGTAATTTATCAAAACATCCTCTCTAGGAAAACACTCCATCTCGCTAGTTGCACAACAAGCGCTGCCCCATCATCCACGTGCATTAATCCCTCCAATTAATCCCTCCCATCCCTCCTCTTACGGATCCGTAGCCTATCCGCATCCTTTTTCCTCCCTATCACAATGTCACAAGAACCATATTCCCTTGTCGTAGCCATCATTGTCAAACCAAATACTGCAATATTAAGAATTTTGCAGTTCATATGCCCATTCATTCAGCAGCCATTCGAGTTCGAATATATACAATTAATAATTAAAAATATGCATAGTGCCCTTCAATCCTCTGTCCGTCTCATTTCTTAGCATGCAAATGGTATTAAACCTTTCAAGTGCTAGACCATTTTTTGCATCATAATAATAAAATACATGTAGAGTGCATTCAAGAAACCCATCTATGCCATTCGATGAAAATTTATATTCCGAGCTATTTGTATATATACCTCTATGACCGACCGCGAAATCGGTGCAGTGGCAAGGTTGCTATTTTCGTAAAAAAAAAAAGTCTTCATAAAAGATCTGAGATTTTAAATTTGATTTGCCTGACCCCTTGTGGGCTCTCTTCGTACTGTGAGCTTCTTTGGGGTGGTTGTTCAGGATTTTTGACTCCTCTCTCCCGTAGGGGGACGGTGAACGAGAGTCAGGGCGTCCTTAGTACATCATCAGCTACTCTTTAATACGAACAATACTGTTGAAAATGTTAGTGAAGCTATTCAGCAGAAAGGTCGAACTACTCTAATAATCATTTCATTTTGAAAACTCCTTATATTCTGTACAGATTAGGTGATATTGATACCTTACTTTTCTCCCATCAACCAACAATATTAGTTGGAGATTGGAATGCTAAACACACTGCTTGGGGAAGCAGGCTTATTTCTTCTGCTGGTAATCAGTTGCTAGCTGATACAAAAGATTAAATCTGGCAGTGCATGGATCTAACGCATCCAGCTACTATTCCCATCATATGTCCGTGCAAGCTGATATTTTAGATTTCGGCGTTGCTAATAACATTAGTTGTCGTATTCAATACCCCGTAGTTTTCTCACTTGGAACTAACCCAGAAGAAATTTGTCCTGCTCAACTTTATCATCTGCATTATCTTAACTGGCCGTATTATCAGTTGTTAGTTACTCATTTTCTTTTCCCGCTGTCATCACTCGGAACTTCGTAGGAAATAGATGGCGCCATTGACTCTCTTACTCATATTATACTAGCGGAACCCGGCAGACGATGTTCTGCCCTTCATCTTCCTCTTTCTCCTTCCCTCTCCCTCTCTCTCTCTCTCTCTGCCTTTCCCTCTCTCTTTGTCTCTCCCTCTCTCTTCGTCGCTCTTCTCTCTACGTCTCTCTTTCCGTATATCTTTCTCCATCACTATTTTCCTCTTTACACATTTAGTTGCAGATACTGCACGTCTCTGAGCAGGTAATGTAATATCGAAAAGTACCGGACCTGCAAAAATGTAATACAATCTTTAAGAAGATCTCATTCTATAGATTACGGTGTGAAAAACGTTTCTTTGAGGCGTTCGGCCTCAAACTTTTTGTTTTTAAGGCTTTCGAACGTTTAGTTTAAGAGGTATTTAACGATGTAGAGACAAAAAACTTACAATGAGTTGCAGGTTACATTTAGCATGGATATGTAGTTTGTTTTTAATTTTTCATGAATTTTTCCCATATTTTAATAGTTATTTTGCTATTAATAGTGGAGATAAATCCAACAAATAATATAAAATTTTATATCAGTTATAAATGGTTTAACTAACACAAACATGTTATATATGACTTCATGGCCCATTAACGCACTTCGCTTCCAACAATGCCATCCGTAGAGAAGAAATTGATAGATCAGAAACATACATGCGAAATCACTCGCACTCGCAACATTGCTCTCCTCGTCTAAATTAAATATCTAATCTTATTTAAATCTTTAAACTACAATTGTGAGTTAACTTTTGGCCTTCATCCACGCGCAAAAGATTCTTCAAACTCAAACGTCTAACCCATCTGATCATACAGTGTGGAACAAGCTCACATCTTCTGCGCAAACCTATAAATCTACCCACCCTTGTTACTACAACAGGGGAATCATTTTGTAATTCTGATAAAAGGAAATTTTGGGTAATTACTTTGTATAAAGCTTTACTTCTTGAATTTCTCAAGATTGTCAACATGATAACCTCCTCATCTGTTTGGATTCCAACCCCTCTTGTTTTATAATGTCCAATTCTTCCAATTCCTTGTCTGGCAAGGAATGTTTATTGACGTGAGAACCCTGCCAGAGTTCTGATCAATTCATTGACGCTTTCCAGCATCCGCATGTATAACAATAATCGCTGAGGCACCGGCAAAACAATCGTGTTTGGGAGGATGCCCGGAGCCGCAGGTGCCGTCATTGCAAAAGATGCAGTCTTGTCCTCTTGGGTCCTCTCCGAGAATTTCGACTTCAGATGTACGCCAAACAATTGTCTAATGATTTTAAAGATGCAAATCATGTATTTATTGTTGAAAGCTATAGAAAGACAAGTGGAACTATGATAAATACTACCAGAATCCAGAATTTTTCCGCATTTCAAAAACCTTTACTTTTCCTCAACTTCAAATACCCTCTTCACATGTCCTCCGAGGCTCGAATAGCAAAGTGCCTTGTTTAGAGATAGACAGCTGTTTGCTAATTCTAGAATGATGGGGTACATCGTCATTGGCTTCGGATTATGCGTTTAGATTTAGTTTCCCACATTCCGGAAAACAAGTTGGCATGTATGCATAATTTCGGACCAGCAGTCAGCCTTGGCGCGTTACGTATGTGAATAGTAGGTAGGTGTCATTGCACTCTGTAGAGCAGGTCCGTTCGGTAACGGCTTCAGGTGAACGGGGGCTTTCTTCCGAATGGCGCCCACCCCCCGCTTTGGTATATAAAGAAGGTGGAACGCGATTCAGCAGCATTCATAGGAGTTCCACCGTTTCGAGATGGTCAAACTTCAGGTAAAGTCTTCGTCGGGAATTATTTTGACAATTCCATTTCGATATTCACAGGACTTCAAAAATAATTTGTTTAGTCCGGATGATTACTGATTTTACTGATGGAATTTTAACCGGATATTCTTATTAGATGAGACTTAGATGATTCTTTATTTATATAGATTTTTTTGACAATGTTTTTGTTAATTCTATAAAGAGTTATTTTTAATTCAGAAAAATAAGTCTTTATTATGTCTACGTGGATTGCAGTACTCAAAATTAAAATATAATTTTAAATTTCATTAGGATCATTATGATATACAATAGTTAATTGATTCTTTTCTTTCTTAATTAAGCACGATTTGCCAGAAACGGAAAATAACGAATAGATTTTAAAAGATTTTTCTTTTAGACCTATGATTTTCGCTAATGAGACTTCTTTTAGGCAGCTCTGTTTCCATGTTCAAAGTTCACCTATTAGACCAACTTTATTTTCAACAATTTTTTAATAGTTTAATATCTGAGTAGCTTTCGTATTTTCAATATCATGTTATTAATTCTTAAATTGCGTTGCATGAGACGCACGTGATTGTCAGCCATTCAGAAAGTAAAAGTCTGTTTTGAAACGTTGTCCGTAAAGGTATTTTGGAAATTATTAATTACCAATTTCCTTTTAATTTCTGTACTTATTTAAGTCGTTTAGTTTCTATAGATACATTAGAATAGATTAAAATTCTGTCTCTCACGATATCAAAGATATCATATACAAATTTATCCGCATCCAAATGTATCCTAACCGAGAACATTTTATGTTGTAACAAAACAAGATGCTTTTTCAAATCACCTTTTCTTTTTTTGTAATATGAGACAAACTTTTCTAGTTCCAGAATAGGGTGGTTCAATTGTTTCTTTGTAGATAGTATTTTTCTTAAATTGTAAGAGCATAAATTGACGTAAATCTCTCGCAGAACAAAAAGCTAGAAACGTGAAATTTGCTGTACGTTCCAATTTTGTAACTAAGCAATAAGTTTTCAAAATTCGTCGTCAGAAGAAAATAGTTTTTGTAGGGAGGAGGTTAAAATATGGTTTTTGACAAAGAGCAAACAGTTACTAGGTGTAACTCGTTTCCGTGAAACGGTGCTTATGGACAGGCGAGGCATGGCCAATCGGAAACGGACGAGTCAAAGAGGGTCGGGAAAAGCGGACGGGTAGTGGCAAGGTCGGAACGGGCGGGGGTGCGTGCATGCCGGATGGGATAGGTTTGTTTGTTGATGTTTCCGGGCCCGGCAACTGCTATGGTCATTAGTACCATTAATGTAAATGTTTTTATGCTCCCGGCCGGCACAAGCTCTAAGCTCCTATGTGGAAATGTAGTGCTTGTAAGTGTATGTGTAAAGAGGGAAGAAGATAAGACATGCAAGAGGAAACAAAAACCGCTCGCGGTCTGTGGTCCGTTTGTTAGAGTTCTGCTGCAGCATGGGTATTGATCGGAGAACTCACGGAAAACTACCGACCATTGCAGCCGGCCGCGAGATTTCTCCTGCCCAGCTGCAATTTCTCGACCCAGCTGCCTAGCTAGTGACGAAAATCTGCTAGCGTTGGGACTCGTACGGTAAGAACTCAGTCGGGTGGGATGGGTCGGGAAGAAAAGGGGCGGCGTAGGAATATGATTAAAATTTCTTCCATTTTACGCTACAGATAGCACTCATTCCATTTTCTCCTTAAATAGATGATGCGCTATAAACGTAAATATCAGGGAGCACGAGGTTATTCAGCTGTGTCGTTTCGCAGGTGATCCTCGGGGCCCTGACCCTGGTGGTGAGCGTGTGCGCCCAAGGGGGCGGCGGCCTTGGCGGCTACGGAGGCCACGAAACAGGGAAGTCCTACGCCATCTTCCACGGTCCCGTCGAAGGCAAAGTGACCGAAGTGCATGGCTCCGTCAGCGACCACCATGGCAAGAAGCACGAGTTCATAGATTACGTGGTAAGCCTTAGAACAGGTTGACTAAATAGATGATCACGATTCATTTGAACGTAAGTGGAACCCGTGGCTTAGTTGTCAGACCATTGGTATTTCACAATATTAGTATATAAGGCGAGAGTATCCAACATTAAAAAAAGGCATTTATTTTCTACGTTAAGATCTTAAAATAACACACTGTACTAGAATAATTAGATTAATTCACTATAAATGTTTCACTTAGAATTGTCTCTGGTACGTTGAAAACGTTCATTTCTACAGCGAGATATCAAGCAATCCTTTTCCTAATGCTTTGTAAGACGATCTGTAAAAATGATTTTGCCACTGAACTAGAATTACCACATTAAAACGTATTTTACAATTCTCAATTCGAATTTCAGAAAAGCTTGCATTACTCAAGTTTTCTACAAAGTTATTTCTTCTATTCATTACATTTGTCTGTTTGCCAATACAGTGAAGTAATTATCTAGAAACTAGATTTCTTGTACACAAATTTTAGCTCTTGTAAACCATGAACCGTGATTGTAAGAGCGACTTTCTCCAAGGAACTCAAAGAGGAACGGGAACATCTGCTACTTCGAACATTTACCTCACATTACCAAACAATAATTGAAACATGTATGCCCTCTAATGTGAATTCTGTGAAAATGACTCAGTTATTGTCATTAAGAATGCTATTGCCATTACGAATTTTCCTTTCACCATTAGCAATATATTTATAAGTCTCAGGGTTCAAACAGCGTAACTTAAATATTAATAAAATTTACTCTATTTCAGGCTTACCCTAAATACAAATTCGAGTATGGTGTAGAAGACAAACACACCGGCGACTACAAGCAACAGAAGGAAATTCGCGACGGGGACAAAGTGGAAGGAGAGTACCAGCTGCAAGAACCGGGCGGTAACCTGCGGACTGTCAAATACAACTCCGACCATAAAGCCGGTTTCTTCGCTTCTGTAACCAACCACGGCGGCAATGAACATGTGTATGCCATTAAGGACAAACATGGACATGAGCATCAGATTGCCAAGGGAAAATCATTCGTTCACTATCAGGGTCCTGTAGTGGGTGAGGGACAGAAGATAACCGCGATCCTTAGTCATGACTCCCACGGATATTAAAGTTCACAGTGTGATGTGGTTTTGTTTTGGTTTGGTTTGTTTTTTTCGATCTATTAATGGAGTAAGATTACACGTATACTGTAATTCATTGATTACTGCAAGTGTTTGCCTAAATGCCATTATTTTGTGAAACACAATATCATTGTAAGTTCCCCAAAAAATATCTTCGGCGCTCAATCGTTCCTCAATATGTGGTGTAGCACAGGCCAGAAAACTGTAAATATTTATGAATAATATGTATAGGTATATTTGGGATTGAAGGGTGAAGTTATTTAACGAATCTCAAGACGAATATTTAGTTCGTATAGCATACTTTTCATGTCCATTACGCGCAGGCGGCAGATTCGACCACCACGTCAACGAAAGGTTGCGTGTTCAAATCCAGCGTAAGCCTTGTCTTATGATTGTGACGTAAATAGCAAGAGAAAGTCATGACGTATTCCACAATATCAGCAATATTATTGTTCAATAACTCATAACTGCCTCGTAGGGCACGGTCTCAAGCGAAATGCTGATATCACCGATATTAATACGATCAAAAATATTTAGTTCACTATTCGCACTTTAAAATCCATTCCTATTACTATGAGTAGTAACACATACCTACTAGAATGTTTATACCAAAATTCAGGGAACGGATGACTGGATTTACAAGTCAGTTGTAAAAACTTGGAGGATGATTTAAGATGATTGTATGGCATTAGTAGTGAAATGCATGGACTTGCCAGGCCACAATTGCTGAGAAATTTTCCATGCCTTACACGGGATTCAAACGCAATTGCATCCGGCTGCGCGACATTGATGGACTAATCATTAAACATTTCATTCATCTGTAAATATCAGCATTCATTTGTTTCCTGTGAGCGCGCTAAATACCTTCCAATTTTGTTATTTCAATCTAGTAGAGGGAAATATGCTTGGTGCGATTGCTTGTTTATTGTATTTTTAAGCTTTTTAATGCCTATAATCAATTTATATTCTCAGAATGTAAGATAAGGATTTTATGCCGAAGAACATTACAACACTAGAACATAATGAGGAATATAATATTACTGTTGTTGACCATGAAAGCCAAGGAATATCTCCCGAAGAAATCGCTCAGTAAGGTCGAGCCATTTCCCCTTTCACTGCATTGATAATAGTGGTTACAGAAAATGCTGGCATTTATATTATACATTGCTCTCCATTTGATTATACACTTTCTTGAAGAATGTTATTTGTTGTCTTCATAATAATTTCATTTGATTGTTTGTTTTGTTACATGTCTGTTATTTGAAAATAAAATTATAAAATAAATTTTTGTTTCCAATCTGCATGAACTACCCTTCTGTTATTACAGGCGAAATTCGAGACAATTTCTATTTAAAATTAATGGTGCTAAAAGAGCACGTACTACAGTAATGGTTATGTAATACTATTGATTATACAATTTGTTTTCGAATTAACACATGTCAATCATCTTTATTTGTAAAACACGTTTGAAATCGTAGAACATTTGGTCCGACAATCTTTTTATTCAAGCAAACTTTTTATTCGAAATTTTAAATGACAATATATATTTGTTACTGAATTAATTGTATAAGGTATGCAGTGCATTCATGAAGTATTTTAGCCATGCAGTGTATTCACGATTTTTTGGCTATAAAATATTCTTCATAAGCAGTATTCAAGAAAGTGAACTATATAAAAGTTAAGAAACAATGCGTTACTGATTGCGTTGGCAAACAAATGCAAATAGATAAAAAATATAAAATATTAATGTTGAAACACTGTGTAATTGAAATATTTTACAAATATTTTTTTAAATTTTTTTATATTTTCTGCATAATTTACAATCTGTTCCTATCGGAACAATAAGCAAATGGTGTCAACAGATACATTCGCCACCCATTTGATAATGTTTATTTTCAACTAGGTCGGAAAAATTTGCAAAGTGATTACAGCAAAGTTTTCAGCAGTCTGATAAAATCGCAGTATGGTGCTCACGGATTACATTTCTAAGAAGGGCATTGTTGAGAAGGTGTTACTTTGGAGTGCGCTTATGCGACCATATTCTTTTCCTTGGTTGATGCTATCTCTTCGTTGGCCGGATTACTTCCAGTTGGGCTTACAGCCGGTTGATACGATGTCAGACTTATAATCTCTGTTATATCGTCTTTGGGTTTGCACGGCCATACATTGTGCTTTGTGGACAATAGTATGTAATCGCTATAGTCGTGGTTATATTAGATTCGATATCTTTTTATAGAATTTCGCTAGATTCGCTTCAATTATCTTTTTATGGGGAGGAAAGCCCACATAATTCCACTGCCATACTTCTCAGTCATGTTGGTTGATTATTAGGTTTATAAATAGGGTTATTTTTTGTTGGGACATGGACTAAAGCTTTCGATTGTCTGATTTATTAAGACCATAGAACTCATCTGTATTACAGTTAATTTGAGGACTTTAAGACTGCGCTTCTTTTCTCTTAGTTTTGATGTGGGTTTAATACACCTTAATACGGCAGGGTCTTATCTTACAAAACCTAAATATAGATCAAGTCCAAGATTTTGATTGTATAGCTTCGACATTTTGGGCAAGTCGTACATGTGAATTTGCTGTGTTTTTACTTTTACTCGATGTATCAATTTTACTTTGGTGCTTAGTGAAAAATTGTTATATGTTTTAGATTTTGTTTGGTTCATTTCTTGTGCTCAGCCAAACGATGATGTACAATCTTATCGATTTTGTTTAGCGCGTTATTTTCTATGATAGATGATTGCTGATGCGCTGAAGCGAAGAGGAGCTCTTATATTTGGCAGAAAGTAATATGTCTTGTGTTCGTCTGCAAAGGTGTATAGCTATATAGTAAGTTATTTTGTTGTTCGTTGTATCTCCTGGATAGTTAGATAGTATCAGCACATAAAGGTCCAGTTACGAGAATACTTTCGTCTATAGTGTGCACTTCCCTCAATGCAGACATACATAGTGCGCAATTTGTTGAATCTTCGCGTAAGTCAATATATAAGAGTGATCATCTAGTGGATATTTTTTCAACTCAACCTTGAAAATAGGACGTATCAGGCCAAAGATAATATGTGTATAGTGAGAAGGTAAATCAGTAGGAAGGTTAAACACGCAGGAGAAGTTTTTTATTTTTAAACTAGATTCCTTCATATCCATCCGTTTGGGTCGAATGCTTATGTTTGTAATGTCTATGGAATTGCTCGCATGAGCAAGTATAGCTTTTTTTCCAAGGTTTGTAGAAATTCGATAGTTTACAAGACGGATGGGAGTTCTGCTTCTAAGGGTAAGTTGTTGAGGTGTTCTCCTTCTCAAAGCGACTGCAGGGGGATATTGATCGGCCTCTTCAGGAATCACTTCGTTAATTATAGGCTGAGGCGCAGTAAGAGAAAGTTTTTCAATACTTTTGATAGGACTGGTAACAGGTAATTAGTATCGGTACGAATGTAACTTCGTGGCAAGTCTTTCCACTGCGTTTCCACGATGCATTACTTTGAGCGTATTTTCCGATTTAGAACAGGATACATGGCTATTTCGGAAGTATGGGTGGATGAGAAATATAGCTTGCTTATCCGAGTTCTCAGGTAATCGTGCTATTATACTTGGCAATTGTGCTTCTTGTGTGCATAATTTAACTCGTGATTAAGTCATTGCTCGAGATATATCTTAAGATCAAACCCTAGACTCTTTGCAGGAGCGCTGGTGGATTTTTGTGATGTTTGTCTCGAGCTGTCTCATAGTTTGAATAATTGCTCTTAGGTTGGGTATAGCAGATAATACTGTAGTAAGGACGTCAAATTTACTAGCACTTTTTATTTCATAGATATGTATAGTGGGAATCCGGAGATACTTGTGTCTGCTCTAGGTTATGAAAACATGAAGCAAGTGTTTCACCGGAGCGCTTCTGACTCAGTATTCTTCTGGTGCAGCAATTTCAGTGGAGTCTTTGGATCCTAATGTGAATCAGTTTCTTATTGCGAATTGGTGAGATGTGCCTGTTGGGAATTGTACGATCTCAGTTTTCTAGGGTATGCTTTCACAAAGCGAATATTAGTTACTTTTATAGCACATGAAGGCGATAGTGTCGTAGTTAATGATATCTTAGAGACTGATCTTGTACTTTCGTATTGTCTTAATTTGGGAGCGTGTTAATACTGTCTGGCTGCCTTGTGTTGTATTTTTTCTTCTTGTCATTCTTGGTTGTCGTGTCGTCCAATGAATATTGTGGAGTCGAATATTCGACGTTTTTCATAACACTTTTTGGTTAATTTCTGGGGTAATGTGACAGAGGTCAAGTTATACTGAAATTACATCTGTATACTGCCGCCCAAAAATGACGAATACACTTAATTTTTCAAAATTTTGGAAGGACTTTAATAAATCACGCTAGGATAAGAGTTCTCAGTTGGAGGGGACTTTCAATCTGCGAAATAAGTAAAAAAACAAAAAAGCATTTGGGGCTCACGACTCAACACACTAGAGGAAAAATTCTTAAAGTAAAAAACAGACCTTAATATTTTATATATTGACTGGTGAACCTACGTATGGCCCACTGACGTCAATAGGCTTCCTGAGTCTGGACTTCACTAGCAAATGGTGTGCATCTGGTAAGTAGAAGTAAAATCTTGCTGATCGTTTTTGTAATCCATGTTCTACTCATGACCACACGCCCTAGTAGAAGGACCATCAGTTACAAATATATAAGTGAAAGAAACTCAGTCTGGCTAAAACTAACAAGTTACTAAAGAAAACTGGAGAACAAGTACTAATAGGGATCACGGTATGATATCACAGTAAGTCGTATAATGTGCTCAAACGCCGCACTGCATAAATCAACTGTAGAAACATGCGAAGACGTCAATTACAGCACCTTTGA